TGAACCTGGCTCTGGGAGGATATTTCAGCGCCAGGCCCGTATCGGACAGCGCGTGCAGGTGTTCACTCTTGCACGCCTCGGCTAATGTGTTTAGTGCTGTTAAGCGAGCTACATTTTAATCGCAGCCCCACAATGCCTCTATATTCCCAAAACATTATTGCGCACTAATATGGCGTGGCGATGCGCGATCATATCCCAATACTGCATCGCTGCGTATGGTCTATGCAGATATGCACAACCCTTGCTGCGCCACTCATAGAACACTAACACTCCTCACGAGCCCTATCCGACGATTTACCTGGGCCTGCGCTCTGCCCTTCGTCGTACTCCTCGCCAACTACCGACATCGAGCCTCTATGCGCGCGTGTGTGGCAGGTGGGAAAAGTTGGCGAAACTGCTGGCTTCGGGATTTCCCACCAAACTGACCTCAGCACTTCATCCGCACGCACATCTATCCTTTGCCACGTTGAGAGGAGCCGGCCTCCCATGAGCTACAGAGGGGTGTGTGTGCGCGAGCGGGCCACTTTCTACATTCCTAGCCGTCTCCAAGCCCTCCGTCAGTCGCGCCAAGAGAAAAATCACAAGTCGTCTTGAAGTCACGGGAAAGAGCTTGACTGAGAAGGCGTGATGCATCGTAGCCTATATTGACTCCATTCTGCCATCATGGCGAATGTAAATTGCCGTAGACGCTTCGAAAATAGAACTTCTTCCCGTCTATGTTGCACTCGATCTGAACCCTGTGATCTGTACGGTGACAGCTGGAAACCAGTCAGGGACACTGTTGACAGGGATTGGGTCTCAGCCCGAGAGCGCTAGAAAGCCGGTCGAGTCCGAGTTTCGCGTGGGGATTCCGATTGTCGCGGCTCCCAATACATGGATGCGGTCATATGGTGCAATGGTACTCTTTCCCAGCTGGTCTGCCAAGGCAAGTCTGCATAGCTTTGACGCGTCTACCACTTCGGGCTGGAGATTTCTGGTTCGAATCCAGCACCGCTCGTCTGCATTCTTCGCTGCACTCGTGAACGGGGTCAGGGCATGCTGAGATTGGGTAAGAAATAAGCGTTTTCAGTCGTGGGTTTTCACGGGGAAGAGTCGACTGCTGGGTGAGAAGAGACATACGTCGTCGTAGTGGCCGCGACTGAAATCCTAGTCATTAGTGTCTTTGGAAGCTAAGAGCCATCCAATATCGACACAAGTTAGTGATGGTTCGGCATGACTAGGTGGCCATATCTACATGAAATGAAGCTTAGTCCGAAAGAAAACTCGGTCCCCTCAGAGGCACCCGCGGGAAATGCCTCCAGACCACTGCAGACGCGTCTCGCTCGACCAGCAGTCGCATGCTAGATCAAGAAACAAACTGTGCTCATGAATTCTACCGATGCAGCAGACGATGGCATCGGCATGTGGGGAAATCAAACTTTGCGCTCGAGGCACAGAAGATGGGCGTGCATGGAATGGAGAGAACACATAGCGGGCTAGGTGCCAATTTTTGGGAGATTTGTATCTAATAGTGGAAAGTAGGTAGACGGGCTTAGGGAACGATCAAGCTATTGGGCGAGTACGATGGCGTGAGTGGGAAGTAGCAGGGCGATACAACTTGTAGAAACAAGCATACCCATGGCGAGCCGCAGAGAAACGCCCGACCAAGCCCGCCCAGACATGGCTCGGAGCAGAATCGCCACGCGAGTAAGAAGCGCGCACACTCCGAAGCAATTGGACCAGGAGCAGAAAGGCACGGCGCCAACATGGGAACCGGCCGTGAAACGTAGAGCACATGGCCTGTTTCGGATGGGCCAAGGGAAGGGGCGATTTCACGAAGCTATGGTGAAGACGCCATAGATACGACTAGGCTAGCACGGTGGGTTGAGAGGGAAGGATGACGAGCGCAGCTCAGCCTGACCCAGCAATTGGCCAGGGCGGAAGGAAACACGACGAGAGGCCTCGAGTCCACACTGCCTCCATCAACGTGAGCGCACGTCCGAAGAGTATCTTGGCGTTCGATAAACTCTGGCGTGGGCCCAAAGGCACCGAACCAACAAAGTGAGAGGTATTCCAAGGTGTCGAAACATGAAGGGACCCTTCCACGCAATCCGAAAATGAAATCCATACAGCCACTGCCGAAAGCGGATTAGCCTGAGGCTTGTTCCGGGGAGTTTTCTTTATTCGCAACCTCTGAGTAGCTGGCGCCATCGTAATTTACATATAATCCGGCACTTCAAAGATTACGTAATGGTCAGAGATGGCTTCAGGCGTCCAACACGTGAGCCCAAAATGTAAGAGCAGATATGAGAATGGACCAAGGCTCTACCAGACACCCGTTGGTTCAATGTTTAGGAACCGAGCCATGCGCTTCCTGACAATGATCATGAGTTGTGCACTGGCACGACGGTAAATTAAATCCAAGCCAAATCAAGCTCAATACAACTGCTCTCATCCTTGCGGAACAATCCCAGCACTAGGATATCTAATCCTCTCCCTATTCATGTTTATTAGTTTCATTAGCAGCGCAATATCTGTGCCTGTAGGTCGTACTCTCGCTTTGAGACTCTAGCCAAACTAACCCAAGCATAAATCTACTTGTGAGTTAGATTTATATAGTAGCTCTAACCTATACTGCAAGGATAGAGGACCACTGAAATCTACATGAACGAGCTTAGTTTGATTTCGTAAATTCAAACTGATCAGGATTTTTTCTCCAGATAGTGAGGGTGTATACCCTGCCCATTCGAAAAAAATGGCCGCAAAATCAAGCGACACTTATTAGCTCGCGCTGTTCTATCAGTCATGTATTTCTAGCCAACTTACCCGCAAAATTTAGCCATTTTGCTACTAGACAGTAGTAGCATTCGCCAGTGGATTACCTATCAATCTTGATCCAGAATTTTGGTGGAAGGCAGCATCAAATGAGGCACCTCATCCTCAAAATCTTCTTCGGTAAATGAACGGATAAATAATTAGATTATTTGGTTGTCCTGATTTGGTGCCTCGATGCCCATGCTGGTTGTAACAGAAGATATGTACTTTGAATAGTATGACTAAATCTGACGTTAAGAATTCTCACACTCGGATTTCATTTGCAGATACCACACGAAGTTAACACTTACGGCATTTACCCTCCTCCGTGCATGCCCAACACATGAAAAAGCATGTAAAAACCTATGTTTATCCGCATGTACTTTCGTCATTATGCAAGTCCAAAATAAGGGCGGCATGATTCTACCAGCCTCGAACCAAATTTATCCTGTTTCAGATGAGGTGGGTGATCAAACTTCCAATAGCCTGTAAACGGTCCGGATCGTGTACCATTGCACCATCCAGCCCAATATTGTCACGCTCCAGATTTGCAAAACTTTGTTCAACGAATTATTAAATTTGGAGAATTCTGACTAAATTCATTCCCGGCAGCAGCATAACTTGTCAAATCTTAGAGGGCTAAAGCTCGTTCTACACCGTTTAGAATACTGAGCAAATAATTTAGGGACAATCTTGACACCGAGAACAGGGCTCGAAGAGTTTGGCGTGCCGGGGAAAACCGTATAAAATAAGAGTTAGTAGTGGTACGTGGATCCAAAACAATAATAATTAAACTTTTTGTAGTCTATTATCCTTCTATGCACTTAGAAGACAGATAGATTGGGCGTAAATGAGTATACTGTAGATTCTGTGAAGCGCGTGCGGACAAAAAGATACTATAATTCACATTAATTCGGTAGTTCGTGCTTGACATGATTCGTTTGGTGTCAAGTGTTGGCATTAGCTCTATGCGGCATGATCAGGATGGGGAGCGTCGTCGTGTGCACTGTATTCCTGGTATTGAAGGCGGTCTGAAATAGAAATTGTTGTAAGTTTCGCCCGTCTACTTGCTCATTCGTTGATTCGCCTGTAGACATTCTTGTCGATGAAAAAGGGGATGGAACCGAGTTTCATGACATGAAAGTTTTATATGGTGCAGGGATTCTTTTATGGCGGCAATCGGCGTCACATGGCACAGGGGTCGGAAATTTAGAGCTCTCCAGTCTCGACTACGTCGATAACCGTGGCATTGGTTCTGATGAAGTCCGCTTCATGGATGTCGATGTTTGTCTAGTCTTGAGCCCAAGCGTTCTAATCTTGTCGTGACGAAATGATCTCCACTTGCTCTGAACCATCTCTTCAGTTATTTCCGAGTTGACCCCAGTTGTGGGTAGCATCAACAAATTTAGAGGTACGTATCTTGTAGCCTAACACCGAGCTCGTATGGACGAGCAAAGAGAACCCAATTTTTATGATTGCGCACCTTGGCAAATATATCTTGAGCACTCATTTAGCCAACCTCCCGCAAAGAGGAGTGTCCTAGGCCTCTGGAGAATTAACAACTACATGTAATTCACCGTCCCATGACCAATACTTATTAAGTGCTTTGTAAGTTGGACTACTTTGGTTATATGGTTGTGGTCTTTTACAACGAATAGAGGGTCAGAGTGACAGGGAATAAGTATCTAATAGGTTGACGAGGTTGAAGCTCTTTGAACCATGGCCAATTTAGCGGTAATGTCAAACAGATGATCTGATCTACTTTAAAAGGTTATCTAGCTATTGTAAATAGATGGTGATCAGACCTTGAAGGAGGGATCATGTTTGTTGATATGAGTGCATCCGGAGAGTATCTGTTTTGAAGTGCGCCCTGTGATAGCAAATCCAGTTGTTCGTAGAGCTTGCTGAAGCGCCTTCAACGTGAAGCCCGCAGACGTTTCCTACTACGGCATCATTTTGTCGGCTCATGGATTTGCTTTGTAAAATCTTCTGCCTTGATCGTCACGGTCACCGAGATGCCAATGTTTTGTCTTTCTTATGTAAAGAATATTAAAAGTAACCCGGAGTTATGCGGAACGTAAGCTTCTTGCATTTCCAAAAGCAGACCAACGGCTAGGAACTAAGGACCAGCTTAATGGGTTATTAGTCCGAAACTAGTCATTTCGCTATGCATCAAAATATCCTTCATTTCCGGTATATCCCATATTTTATTTCCTCTGCAACATTTGCTTTGCGATTATCTCCACATCAATATTCGCCATATAATTGTAAATTGATCTTATAGTTAACCCCGAAAACCTACACATCATGATGATCCAAGGCCCCTGTAAGTGTAGCACGCACCCTTCAAGATTCGAGGCTTGTAGATGGTCATGTGACGGGAAGCCAAGTCAAAAAATGGCGGCACAGTTAATCCCTTCAGGATTGACTTCAACGTCGTCTTCAAGGGGTTTAGGTAGGCATTGTAAATATATATTTACTCCTTGAGGATGACGTTAAATCCAGTTATGATTAAAAACTCATTTAAGACTGCCGTTGGGGGAAGGGTTACATGGACAATTAAGATTGTATTCATAGTGGGGCGAATAGAGTATGGGCCAAAGCTCGGAGACGCACTACCTTGGATCGGCGCGCGCACAACGTTATTGGAATGGCTGTGCCAACAAACACTCATCTTCACGTCAACAAATAGTTGCAGAGCACGGGACTCGTCCCAAGCCAAAGCCAACTCGCTCCGCTGGCCTATCAATTCATCCAGACGTTTCGCCCAATGATGTGGTAGCCGAAGCCGAACTGCCAGCTCGTGAACCGTGCTGGATCGCCCGAGTCTGGACGTGTCCAGGGGCTTATCGAGTACAAGTAACAGTCGTGTATCTGTCGTAAATCATTGTCGGGGATCTCCGGCTGATGCAACCAATAGCAATGCTTGGTCTGATACCGTCTTTTTCGTCTACTGGTTCTTAGCCCAGCTGATCAGCACAGACACGTCCGTGCCACCGGACCGTACAACGTATTTTCCCAGCTAGATGAACAGGGTATGCTGGCTACGGCTGCCAATCGGGGGATGCATCTTTATTTCCAGAAGACCACAAGATTGGCCAAGATGTCTCTTGAAAAATTAGACACCTCCTCTGCGTTCGTAAGGCGGCACACTCGGAAGAAGATCTATGATAACACCTGTGATTTCAGGTGACCCTGAACTCCGTCAATGTTACGTAAGAGACATGTTTTGGGAAAGTCCCGGAGTGAGGCTTGAAGGGTATGGAGCATGACAGTGGAAATTTCGAACAATTAATCCCAACTTTCTAACCCTTTGTTCGTATTTCATTGTATTGAGGCCGAGCTAGTGGCAAGTAATTCATACTGACCAGCTCAGCCTCTAGATCCGCCCATTGAAGGCTAATTACGAGCAGCCAATACACTCACACCCTTAAAATCTTTGTCCACATGTGAACCGAGAGTTGATGCCACTGAAAAAACTACTCGAATCATGACTTTCAGTGTTCTTCATTCGTGTAAACTCGACATGTCAGAGGTCACCGAACCCGGATTACTTAGCCAAAATCCCTCATTGTAATTGTGTATGGCTGCTGAGGCGCCAAGGTTCCGATTCGTTTCACCAAATCTCACCAGCTGTGATCAGATCCCGACTGGCCAAAGCGCTCAGATTGGATAAAGTCTCATGGGAATCAAATTCTGACAGTAGATTCATTCATAGTGTGAACTATCAAGACAATGCACGCAATTGATCTCCTGTGATGCAATGACGTCTTTTTTGAATTCCATGCCTTGGCGCCAAGTAAATATCAATAAGGTTTTGGGTTTGGATTTTTCTTATTCTTCTCTAAGGCGACGGTTAATTTCAATATTTAGAGGCTTCTCTTTGAGATGCCATCTAATGTCTCCAATTTGTGACCGGGAATCCCAACACCCCGTCTATATTCTTGTATTGACCATGGAGTGGGGTTCACCTTATTTGATTTGTGGCAGATCGTACAAATCTAGAAGCGAAAGCTATTAAATCTGAACTAAGTTTACGAATACTCGTTGACCTATCGGGATCATGACGATAAGAAAAGAAACTGTAATGGTGTAGCTGTGGGTTTTACTCTTGTATATTTGGGTCCCTGCCCCCGGCAGGTTTGTTGAAGTTACTATTGGACGGAAATTTGATACTAGCCTCGCACTAATATATAATACATCTACTACTTGACGACATCACATCGATGGATTACAGAATGTCCGAGGCTTTAGGATGCCAATAGATACTGAAAAAAATAGAGGGAATGACAGCGCACTTAACAGTAAAATGTTGAGGCTCCACAATGACCTTGCTCTCTGTTTATCTGAACGAAAAAGATCCCGCCGATTTAAAACAGCAACCTTAATAAAAGAACCACTTTATTGTGCCGACTTCATCCAATTTCATGCCCACTACTAGACATGAGAAGGTATGAAAGGCAGAGACAGTCTGCATGTTTATCACAGTTATTGGTTAACTTGGAAAAACTTATATTAAGCAAAAAGCCCTTATTGGCCACAAGCCACGCAGCGCCTTGTACAGCAATATGTACCTGATTTACACTGATTGAAATTCCACATTCAAACCGAGGTAAATCTCTTCTACAGGGAAGGCTAGGCCCTGCAGCTGTCATAACTTCACTTTACGTCAAGAATCGTAGCATCACTGAGCACCCAGATGATCTCGTATCGTCTGCGTCAATGAGCCAGGTGCTACAGCGTTGAGCAATGTGATGCCTGCCTATCATCAAGTGTTTTCATAATGTCGCTTGCGTGAAGCGTCATCGGAGAAGGATGGTGACTAGCAAGAACCATTCAGTCTTTGTCTGATCGTGGGCAAGAATCCGACAATCAAAAGAGCCTCAAGACCCTGCACCTCTGAGTTTTCAATTCCAATCAGTTGTAACGCCTGCCATCCATGCCTCCACCTTTTCCAAGCTGCAAGGCATGTCCATAAAACTACTGCAACTGTAACTGCAAGTGCGAAGATCCCGGCATATGCACACGATAGTGCATTATGATGTTTGAATGCAGTGTAGCTAACTGAGCTAGATATTCGGAGAGCACGACAGTATCATATAAGTATCATAATCTTGATCTATTTCCGCAAATGTGCAATCCATCAATGCGGCAAGATTTTGTGGAGAGGAGTCTATTGCCGCCCATGGACAAACTATGGCAGTTAATTGGGTAACACCTTCTGTTGCCATGCGCATTTAGAAACGTCTATCCTGTAGCTAATTTAGTAGAATAACTTTTGGTGTACTTTGCATGTATTTGCCATTTAATCATATTCTGAGATTTTTGGGATTCTCTAAAGGGCAAATCTTGACTTCATTTACCTCCAGATATGACCGCAATCACTGCGACTCAATTAGCTACATAGACTCAAACGCTATAAATAATGGTGTAAGAGAGAAATTTTTAGTTAATTACAAATATTTGGATTGGTCAAAGTAGAAGTAGAGTGCGGGGCTGAGTGTTGGGTATTTGCCTTCGGCGCCTCAAAGGACGACAATGTTCATTATTGTAAAAGTGAAGTAATTTGCTAGGGTTTGCAAAAAGCCGCCACCATTTGATGGACAGTGCATGCCTGCGTAAGTGAGCAGATTTAGGCTTTCGAGGATGTGCTTAGTCTCATTATTCATCGTGAACTAGATTGGTGGAGTGCGTTCGGAAAGGCTGGTCCCTGGAAAAGGCGGTCCGGCATTTACAATAATCCCTCATCGCAATCTTGATGGTTCGGGTCTTCTAGGGATACTATAGGCTCGAGTTAACATACTGAAGAAATAAAGGTTCCAAGTGATAGTCATTCTCTAGACGAATAGTAAAAGTATAAGGCAGGTTAGATACAGTCTCATTTGTGCTGGTTTCTAGAGTTTGGGGAAACCTAATCAAACCAAATTTGCGTGCGATAAGATGAGGATTACGGCTATAGTTTACTGGCATACACTCAGCCTTTGCGTCCTGTAGTGCACCAATACTAAGGGATAACCGTGTGCTCGACTCTGGTGCATGGTGTCGGGATGAAAGATACCGTGGAATTAAATCAAAATAATTTCTACTCGGCCCCCGTGACCTGCCAGGACAGTATGGTAAGAATAAGTTCTCAAGCTTCGGCGAGATGTGTATGTATTAGACAAGCGCAGCGGCTGGTGCTGTGCTTGTGGTACGCAGCTACTGCAACAGAAACCAAACATTATTTGTCATTTTTCGGGGCTCTCGCCTTTTCTGCCAAAATGAGTTGTTAGGACGAGGCTGTGATCGTTGCAAGATTTGCGACTTGGACAATTAGGGACGGTGTGGAACTGAGGAAACCATATGCTGTGACCCAGCCTTCCACGATATCGTTAGCGGTTAAAGACAGCAAGTCTACTGTCCATCAGCATTCTCATGTGTCCTACGAATAATTGCCTTATTCTCTACAATTGAGTCGCGTGAAATTAGTGGCGCCACGGTTTTCAGATGATTCTATTGAAGAGCTGGGATACTTGAGATGCCTTGGCCAGCTTCATCTGAAACCTCTTTATCCGGCGATAGGATGAGTCTCAAGATGAGGTGGGGCGGGAGATTGTAGTCCTCAAGCAGCCTTGAGCGGGATAAACAAATGGATTCAAATTCTAGACGACAAGTGCATGCTGCTGCACAAACATTGCCTACGAGTCAAGCCCGACCATCCTTCAGGCGTTATCTGAGACCCGGCATCTGAATGCTGCTGCAGTCCCGGTTTGTACATGAATTTCCTCTTTTTTTGCAGAGTCTTTCCCCCCTAACTATGGATAGATCAGCGAAAACACATAGCGAGTGGTGATCAGCTGAGACAAAGGCCCCTCTCTGGAAGCTGGTGCGTCGATCGAAACTTGATTGGCACTTTCGTCGAGCTCAATCCTGAATCTGGCATCTGACTGGAACGGATAATAAGGCCCCCAAGTTCTGTCATAATATTTCTTCTCTCCGTCTGGGTGGCTAGTGGTATGATAATAGCGATGCGCCTAACACCCCCACTCCCTCCCTAATATTTGGAACATGGACTTGACCCAGGCTAGCTCAGACAAGACGGAATGCACAGTCGAGACCCGCACAGAAAGGCGTCCCGTAATCCCGAATGTCTTGTCATGGTCATGCGCACAAGCGGAAAGCCACGCGCGGCCGAAAACTGTGAGACGCTAAGATGGAGAACAAGAAATCGAAGGCAATCGTGAACCAGACTTTCCGGGAAAAGGCAACGAGGGCGCAGACGTTGGATCACCCGAATGCATGCAGATAGCGCGCGCTATGGCCGTCAGCGTCAGCATCAGCGTTCACTATTGAGTACGGGATCTTCCATTACCAGCTAAAGACCCTCCGCACTCCGGGTGCATGCAGAGCGTGAGAAGAAATTACCAAGCCTGTCTCCGTTGCGACTCCTCTTCATGTCATTGTGGGTTATGCAGTCTTAATTCTGGGACAGCGAGAGAAAGAGAAACGGGGAGGAGCATGACGAGGACTCAGGATTCAACCTCATCATCTTGCATCCAATCAAGTCGTCTTATCAAAAAAGGTTTGTGTCGTGTTTGAAGGAAGACCGGGGAGCCTTCATCTCCCTTAACACAGCCCCCTACCGCCCTCATGTACGCAGCCCCATCTTAGTCCTTGGCTTTGACTGGGGTGAGCGGGCACTTTCCAAGTCCACTGTGCTCCTCCCTACCGTTTAGTTTGTTCGCTAGCTCGCGAGCCCGCCAACGCTAATTACTCTAACAACCTTATCCCAGAGGCACGATCTGTTTCTCAATTGATCACATATACCCGAGCCTGTGCCAAGCAACAATGATAGATGATATACCTTCGACTTATCTATCGTCACAATGCTTCCTGCAATTTTCGCTTCGTTCTATGTTTTCGCTCTACTTAATACAGAAGAAATCTCGTCCCATTCTTACTGTCAATATCTCCTAACATTATCACATCCGATATCTAGGAAAGTTGCGTCGTCTTATTCCCCCTAAACTGATTTTATTTGGCCATGTACCAGTATGATCAGATACCTTACTCGCTAGTATCAACCACACCAAAACCTAGTGGAGAGACTCAAGAAGTACATCACGCTGCTGTGACTCCTGAATCAAGATTAGGAACCATTTTAGCCAGAACCCTCCGACTTGAAAAAATTATTGGGACCGGAGCGTACGGAGTAGTATATGCAGCGGTAGACATCAACAGTAATGCTCCATATGCAGTCAAGGCCCTGAACAAAACTACGTCTGATGGACGGCCCTTGGACGATCGTCAGCGTCGATTCCAAATAAGAGAGATTGAGCTACATCATGCTGCTTCAGTTCATTCAAATGTAGTCTCCATGTACAAAATAGTGGACCTTCCAGATTGCACCTATGTTGTACTTGAATACTGTCCAGATGGCGACTTATTCTCTAATATTACGGAACGAGGCAGATATATAAATAACGATGACCTCATACGGGACGCATTTACTCAGATTCTGGACGCCGTGGAACATTGTCACTCCCTAGGAATTTATCATCGTGATCTGAAGCCCGAAAATATTCTCGTTTCCAATGAAGGCAGAAAGCTTATGCTTGCGGACTTTGGACTGGCCACTAGAGACACAGTCTCAGAGGATCATGGATGCGGCTCAACCTTCTACATGAGTCCAGGTTAGTGCTATTCTCCTAATCCTTTCATTTATTGACCCCTACAGAATGTCTGGACCAGAATAATAATATATCTTACCGTTGTGCCCCGAACGATATCTGGTCTCTGGGTGTTGTTCTTCTGAACCTCGCTTGCGGCAGGAATCCATGGAAACAAGCGTCTGCACAAGATTCCACGTATCGGGCATTCTCCGCCGATCCAAGGTTTCTTCAAACAATACTACCAATATCAGATGAACTAAACGAGATCCTTATGTGTGTTTTTAAGCATAATCCACTAGATCGAACAAACTTGAGGTCCCTCAGGATAATGGTGAAGTACTGTCCCAAATTTACTGGACCTTTAAAGCAGAAATCAGTTCCGCTTTCGCTAGGACTAAAATGTGTGGATAACGCTCACGAAACTAAAAGAGAGAAAGGTGTTCAGCTATTAATTAATCTTCCTAAATGGCAATCTCCAAATAACCTCGGAAATGAAACCCCAAGGACACGCTACAAACTAGAACAAAATATTCTTATTGAAGAACGGAGAATTAACGAGGAGTACGAAAGTTGTAGCAGTCCAGATATTTTACCATTACCAACTTTAAGCCCTGGATTGACAGTGTCACCAACTGATATACAAGTATTAACCCCAAATCCCAGGCTTGAATTACCAAACATATCCGGTGTTACTGGAGAAAACGATAAATGTGAACATACGGAATGCTATGTTTCTACACATCCCTCGACTGACAAGATACCCTACTCGAGTGATTTCGGGCATTGCAGACAACCTCTAGATATTCAAATTAATAACTATGAGCGATGTATCCCTCCTAATACAGTCAGCTTCGCAAGCCCCTACCTCGATTACCCTCACCAATACTATCAAGAAAACTTCCAATGTGCCGGAACCAAGGGATATGAGTACATCGGCTCGTGTGAAAGGTCAGATTTTCTCTACACCAACCTACTCACAAACCCATATCTGCAACATGGAGCCTACCAGTACAAATTTTCACCTTCTGGTGAAGTATTCTAATATTTTACCTGCGACTAGAACAACTATAAATTGTACAAGCTATTTTCTTACAACTGCTGTCAAAGCGGGAGCGACAGTGGATAACAGGACACCACATCTCAACTTCCTTTCTGTTATATCTTGAGGATGAATCGGATCATAAAAAATCATGCGTTAAACCACTGTCCCTCGTTTGAAACTTACCTGCAACGAAAATTTCATCTCTCTTTGAATTATTACTAGTAAAACTCAAGGCTGGCCTTTGTCTAAACCTATCTCTGCTTTTATACCGGAATTCCTCGGGACGATTCAAAAATCATACCCTATTGCACAGATCCAACATTTTCATTCTATAAATTTGGCTTTAACGACGTTATGGGAGGGGATTGGATGTAAAAATGAGGCAAGGCGTTAAATGATGAACTAGAAAAGTGTAATGGATAACTGATGTGAATCTGCTTCCTGCCGGCGTAAGGAACTTTCTTGAAATACGAAATTGGATGTAATGAGGGAGGTTATCAGGGAATAGCACATATTTTATTTAAGCTACAGCGAGCGATGATTAAATGAATCAAAATATAAATTATTTAAACAATAGCAAGCGATATTTGAAATCGTATTACTTCGGTTCATTTCAATTTGCAAACGATACTACTCGGTTGTAAGGTACATCATTAAATATATCTAGGAATTTTATATCAAAGTAAAGCTACCAGTACCTGCAACCCAACTTGGATATGGCTTAGAATAAAATAACACCGGGTAAGAAAGCCTGACCTTACATGTCGAATCAGTTCAAAACCCTCTATCACGTCCGCCTAGTCTTGTTTGTGCTTATATCCTATGATTGCGGAGAACCCGCAAGAGTTAATGCGAAACTAGTTGTTTTTTTTAAACCATTTAATGTGTATTCAGCCATAGAGCTATGACACATGACCGGTGCTGTGTATACGTATTGGATGACTCTTTCGGCGTTGGAGACACTCATACTCTGGATTTCGTTCGCAAATACTACTATGAGGTATGTTTGCTCACAAAAACAGTCGACCCTCCTCCGCAAGTACCCACCAAATGGAATTTCAAAACCTTTCGTTATCCAAGCATGCCTTCGTCATCCATGTATACCGGCGCTGCGAGAAATGTGGTTGTGTTTTGCCGGATTTGAGGCAGCGATCTACTGTCTCGAGTGGGATGTGTCCAAGCTATCCAGACTCTACTTGGCAGACCGGCCAAGACGATGTACCACCGCACCATCCAACCATGGCGGTGTTTATAGTGTCGCTTGCACTCTCGCAACCGAAGTCTTGGCACGCACAAAGCTCAATTTGTAAAAACTCCTTACCAAGCATCAAAATTCCACGCCCGTCAAGACTGTTTTCATCCTTCGCATCATATTGTGAACTTGTCCTGAATCCTCTCACTCCAATCCTAAAGAACAGTCTCCCAGATTTGAGCGCCACACTTTGTGTCCTCCGTTGGGTATAAATATCGGCGTGGGCGTGTATTTGGTGACCGGCTGAGGCCAGAGAAAGTCGGGGAGAGGTGTAGTCATTGGGATGAGGATGTACTAGGTCGTACTTGTAGACTTGATGAGACTTAGGCAGGAGTCAGTCTCGTTGGGAGTGAAAATTTGACCTTGTGGAGTAATTTGAATCATTACCTCGTGGACCAACTTGTTCGGTATTGCGAAATTTAACTAAACTCGGCTCTGGGAGAATATTTCACTCCCAGGTTCGTAGAGGACACCGCGTACAGGTGTTCAGTCTTGCCCTCCGAATCTAGTTGTTGATAAGTAAGCGCAAAGGTCAACAACTTATGCGGCTCATAGACCAAGTTTCCACATAGACCGACTGACGACCCCTGTATGATAAGCAGGCGGCAGGAGTGAGTAAGCTAAGGGTCAGGGTGGGCAGGCGCTGTTCCTGGTCATGGTGTGGACTGGCGGGGCAAATTACCAGACCACAGCCGAGCTGGTTTGCCGAGTTACTGCTCGAACCACTATCTTGGGTGGGTGAATGCTCTAGCAGACAACCTCAAAACAGTGTAGACGCCTTCACGCGATATGGCCGGAGTGGAGATTGTTGGCCGCTACGACTGAGCGAGGTGCATGATCGTGGCGCACAAATCTGTGACATAGCTCTTTGGGATGGACGTGAAAGAGATCAGGACAAGTTTACAAGATGATGCAAAAGTGGGATACATTCTCGACGGGCTTGAAATCCCGAATTTTGGCAAGCATTTTACAAATTGAGCTTTTTGCGCGCCAAGACTTCGCTTGCGAGAGTGCAGCTGACACTATAAACACAAGCCAACGATGGGGAGGGCAAGACTGAACACCTGTCAGTGGTGCTCTCTACGAATCTGGGAGTGAAATATTCTCCCAGAGCCGAGTTTAGTCAAATTTCGCAACATCAAAGAAGTTGGCCCACGAGGCAAAAATTCAAATTACTCCACCATGTCAATCTTTCACTCCCAAAGAGTCCGATTCTCAACTAAGCTTCATCAAATTTACAAGTACGACCTATTACATTCTCGTTTCAATGACCACACCTCTCGTCGACTTTCTCTGGCCTCAGCCGGTCACCAAATACACGCCCACGCCGATATTTACACCCGACGGAGGAAGCAAAGCGTGGCGCAATAATATGGGAGATAGCTCTTTTGGACGGACGTGAGAGGGATCAGGACAAGTTTACAAGATGATGCAGAAGAGGGATACATTCTCGACGGGCGTGAAATTTCGAATTTTGGAGAGTTTTACGAATTGAGCTTTGTGCGCGCCAAGACTTCGCTTGCGAGAGTGCAGCTGACACTATAAACACAAGCCAACGATGGGGAGGGCAAGACTGAACACCTGTCAGTGGTGCTCTCTACGAATCTGGGAGTGAAATATTCTCCCAGAGCCAAGTTCAGTCAAATTTCGCAATATCAAAGAAGTTGGCCCACGAGACAAAAATCCAAATTACTCATCCACTTCGTTATTTCGCTCCCAACGAGTTTGACCCCTATCTTCGTCTCATCGAGTCTACAAGTACGACCAAGTACATCCTCATCCCAATGACTACACTTCTCGTCGACTTTCTCTGGCCTCAGCCGGTCACCAAATACACGCCCACGCCGATATTTATACACAACGGAGGACACAAAGTGTGGCGCTCAAATCTGGGAGACTGTTCTTTGGGATTGGAGTGAGAGGATTCAGGACAAGTTCACAATATGATGCGAAGGATGAAACCAGTCTTGACGGGCGTGGAATTTTGATGCTTGGTAAGGAGTTTTTACAAATTGAGCTTTGTGCGTGCCAAGACTTCGCTTGCGAGAGTGCAGTTGATACTATAAAAACAAGCAAACGATGGAAGGTGTTGTGGTCCGCCTCCTGGTGATGTTCTCTGGTTTAGTTTGAGTAGCCTGGGCACCTACTCCACTTGGGAAGGAGATATCTCAGATAATATTTCGCGCGGAGAAAAGTTGAAAGATGATGGAGGCATGTCTGGATAACTCAGGGTTTTTGAGACGTTCCCCTGGGTGGGTATTCACGGATGAGGGTTGACTTGGGGTGAAGAAAAAGCCACCATAACTTCGCAGTGGTACCGGCAAATGAAATCCGAGGCATGAGTGCTCCTATTATAAACTGAGTCATCTTTTCTGTACTTTTCTCTGATATTGTGTCATAGCTAGATAGCTGCATACGCAATTAAAATCTGATGCAAAAAAAAAAAAAAAGTCAACGATGGAAGATGCTGTGGTCTGCATCCTGGTGGTGTTCTACGGTATAGTTTGAGAAGACTGGGCACCTACTCCACTTGGGAAGGAGACATCTCAGATTACATTTCGCGCGGAGAAAATTGGATGGATGACAGAGGCATGTCTGGATAACTCAGGGTTTTTGAGACGTTCCCCTGGGTGGGTATTCACGGATGAAGGTTGACTTGGGGTGAAGAAAAAGCCGCCATAACTTCGCAGTGGTACCGGCAAATGAAATCTGAGGCATGAGTGCTCCTCTTGTGAATTGAGTCATCTTTTCTGAACTTTTCTTTGATATTGTGTCATAGCTAGATAGCTGCATACGTAATTAAAATCTAATGCCAAAATAAAAAAGAGGTGCATGATCGGGCGCTAGCATCCACTGCTAGATCATCAACTATAATGATTGATTCTGAGGCTCTGAATTTTAATCCCATGCGCCTAGACCACTGCACTGTCCTAGTTACTTACGAGACAGCTATGCCCTGTCAGATGGTGCACTTGATCTCGGATACACTTCCCCCTCCACGCTGTGCAGCCGACGCATTTCTATCGTCAGTACCGAGCACATATCCTCTTCTGCAGCTCTCTCTTCTGAGTTCAGATGATATGTGCCTCATTGTCGTAGGTAAGAGGTAAAGGCGCGTTGCGACAGATTTTTGCCTCTCCAACTACACCTCTTTCTGCGGAACAAGTACATACTCGAGGAGCTGTTCCCAACACTTGTCAGTGATGTCCCCTATAAACCTCAAGCTCTCACTGTATAGTTTGCAGAGCCAGGATTGAGTGAAAGTGTTCTCACTTCGATGAGAATTCCCAATCGCTTTCGCCGTTTGTATCGTTTTTATCTCTCAACACAAACCCCTGTCACCATTGTCCTGAAGCTAACCACGATCAGATCAGATGGTAGGGTCGCAGTCTTTTTCAGCTGTAAAATCTGGATGATTGTTATTTTCATCTCTATGAACATGTGTATATACACATACCATCTTGACTCAATTGCTACAATTTCCTTCCAACTAACTGCGCGCATCCCCAACTAGGACTGTTGAGATTCGTCATGTTTCCATTTAGCGCATACCACTTCCCAGCCAATAGTTGGCACTTCCAACTTCATTGTTACACAACGAGCTCAGAGCAACGTCGCAAGGAATTCTCATTATACCATGTAATAGTTCAATAGTTCAGTATGTATATGATATCACAATAATCTCATCACCAACACTTGATCATGGGGCAGAAGCCATCCGATGATTTTCTGGAGTGTGTCCGGCACC